TACCCTTGAAACATCCTCAGCGGATTGCAGTATTGGGTAGGTTGAATCTTCGGACTTTTGTACAAAAAATACTCATTCATTTGATCCGCAAGGAAACGACGCCACTTACAACGTGCTCGGCCCCAATGCTTGTGGTTTGGGAAACAGCGCCTGTGACATCGACAACCTTGTATGTTTTTTTTTCCTCGTATCGTGGCTTGTCTACTTTGATTATTGATTTTATCATGGCTTTAGAACGGTACTTTGACAACAGGAGGCGGAAGCGGGTCGGCACTTTCACCATATACCATCACTCCCCTCGCAGCGCTGCAAGAAAGGGCAATTGAAGATAACGCCGAGGTTCGATACTGATCGGCTCTTCTCCCTAATAAAACCTATATCTCAAGCCTCCGTTAGATCGCCGCAGTCGTTGCAAACAGCAACACCACTATCGGTGCAGAGGATGCAATCGCTGCCCTTCTCCCTGATGCCGACGTCACCTTTGTATTCCTCAACAGATACTCCGAGGAAGGTGCAGACGTTCCTGACCTCGCCCTCGGAGGCGACGGTGACAACCTCATGGATCTTGCCGTCACGTATTCGTCCAACGTCGTTGTCGTGATACACACCACCGGTGTCGTGGATATTGAAAAATGGGCGGACAACCCAAATGTTACGGCGATCCTCGTTGCGTATCTCCCTGGGCAAGAAGCCGGAAGTAGTTTGGTTCCGGTTTTGTATGGTGATGTTGCGCCGAGTGGAAAACTTCCGTGGACTTGGGGGAAGAGTATTGATGATTATACTGTGAGTTTTTTTCTTCAATTTCCTTTCGTACGGCGTTTGATTGCTGTATGTAGCCTAATGGTGTTGTATACACCGATGCATACTCTCCTCAATCAAACTTTACGGAAGGTGTATTTATCGATTACCGCTGGTTCGACAAGATGGGTATAACTCCTCGATATGGTAACGTATTCATACCACTCCACTCTCTCATTATCATTACTGAAACTTTCCTGTTTCGCCCTACTCTCATTCAGAATTCGGCTTCGGTCTATCTTACACAACCTTCACCTACTCGAACTTGATCGTCGACCATGGTCGATGGGCGAAAGATCAATCGTCTGTGATGGAAACAGCGGAGCCCTTCGCTGAATGCGACGGCACGAATTCACTTTATGATGTGATATTCACTGTGTTCGCGACGATTACTAATACTGGGAACGTTACTGGAAGCGAAGCCGCTCAATTGGTACGTCGTTTCATCCTTCCACGCTCACATAAGATTTGCGGTAGCTAATGTCGAAAATCCCCCTCTTCCCTCTTTCTTTTGTTTCCTTCTCATTTCCTTCCAAAGTACATCTCCATCCCCGGAGACAATCAACCTGTGCGCCAGCTACGCGGTTTCGACAAGATCAAAGATCTACCTTCCGGTGATTCTGCTGTCGTTTCCTTCCCTATCCGGCGCAAAGATGTCAGCTCGTGGTCTGTTGTTGACCAGATGTGGTTTGTGCCAAATGGAGACTTTGTTATTTCTGTTGGGGGGAGTTCTCGGGATTTGCCTCTTGTAAGTCATCCTAGCACCCCCTTCTTGTCGTATCCCCCTTCTCGTTTCCTCGAAAGTCAATAATCAATGTTGATGCATGGACAGAACACCACTTGGACGCCGTGATACAATCGAGAGATAGATAGATAATGTGTTGATTGGATGTTGGCTGTGGTTGGGTGGTAGGTTCGGACTTCGAAGAATTTTAATGGTACAATTGTATAGCACGTATAGACGTTACGCAGTCGATTATGTGCAGCTTGGCAGCCAGCCGCACTATGTATGAGGCGCGCTCACTCGAAAGTTGTTGTTTTCGTGCACGTCCGTTTTCATCTCCCATCGAAAAATCATTGATATCTTCGTACAAGTATCACAATTAAGTCACTGTCCAGTATGTACTGATAGTAACTGAATTTTCTGAACAGGGCTGTACTAAGATTGACATCGGGAAACACCTATATCCAGGCTATCCAGGCCATCTGTCTTCACATCTCACTTTGCCGGGTTAGAGTACAGGGAGCTACAGGGAGCCATTGAAGAAGTTATGACAGGGTTAGGAGTCATTTACAAGTTCTGCATTTATCATTACTACCATGATCAATATAATCCCTGTAGTCTACTTAGTTTTAGTATCTATATTCAATCTTATCTTATTCCTTCCTTCCTTCTTACTCCATCCTTTCTTCCTAACCTCCTTACCTTTCCACCCTTTCAACTGTCCCTTCCACCCTTCCACCCCCTTCCACCCCCTTCACTTTTCCTTCCCTCCTTCCCTCAAACTATTGACATCTCAAGTCCTCTTGTAATACTTAGTACCTCACCATCATCCTTTTCAAAATATCGAAAGCTATTTCAGGTGTATGTCCTTTCATATCCTCTCACAACTACGTATGTCATATCAATGAACATGCCATATCCTTGCAAATCCTTTAGAAATACCTCCCCAGTACCTCCCATGTCCTCTCTCAGGCACTCCAGGCTGTAATCAAATCCCCTTAGAATAAGTACTTACCTCATGCCACTCCTCCTTGCAAACCATCTCATTCATACCCTCTCATGTCTTGACTGCATCTGCATTTTTGGCTAAATACTAAATAGCCAAAAGCAGCTTAAGCCCAGAGCAGACCCCATTTTTGTTCTGGGTTCTTTCATTGCTGGAGAGTGCGCTCTTCAGCCAGTATCCTTGCACGTTTTGCAGATGACTTCTCACAATACTCACAATTTCTCAAGTTTTAACTTATCTCAAATCTTTGTATACTATATCAATGAATATATGTTCTCGAATTCTTCTCCTACCTCGGTGTTCTGATATCCTCTCACCCCTCATACCCTATCAAACCATGTCAACCTTGTCAAAATTTCTCACAAACCATTCGAAATCCTTTCAACTTGAAATCCCTTCAAACCACTTCAAACTATGGAACTGAAAGTCCCTCGCTATCCTCTTGTATCCTCTCATATCTTTATATCCTCTCACATGAACTTCTCTTCTCACCTCACTTATCTATCATATCCTCTCATCTTCTGAACTCTCTGATCTAGATTCTACCGTATCCTCTCCTTTTAACACTCTCATCTCCATATCCTCTCACTCCCTCTTGATATACCCTCACTTCCTATTCATATCCCCTCACTCCCTATATCCTCTCCATGTCTTTTCAATCAGAGTTCCACATCCTCCATATCTTCTTGTATATCCACTTGTATGCTCTCATGACCCCTTTCTAAGCATCCTGTAAGCTCTAGTTCCTCTTCTCGTCTCTTGTATCCCCTCATTTCTTCAGAGGTTCTACTCATATCCTAACCTCTTACCTCATTTCCTTCATCTCTGATCCCCTCTCAATCCAGCAACGCAGGACAAAAGCTACAACCCATCTTCCATCCTGCATCCTCCTTCCATCCAAAGATCTAATGCATCCAAAGATCCGATGACTCCACCCGATCTTTCCCTCAAACACAAACACAACTCTACACCGAAACCTCCACAAACGCACACTACACCCTCTCACCCTCTCACCCTCTCACCTGCCCAGGTGCATATTGTTCAATCGGCGCAGTGGGAGGACGGGCGTAGGCGATGTGAGCTGTGCGGAGCTAGAAGGGCAGAGGATAATCAATAAAGTGAGGATATCAATAGAGGACAAAGGGATGGAGTGGGAAATTGATAAAGAGATAGAGGTGGAAGGAGGGAGGGAAGGAGGTAAGTGACGGTAAGAAACAAACAAACGAACGAATAAATTAGAATGAGAAGGAAATTCTTGTGAAAGGGAACATACAAGTATCTCAGCAGTCAACCCTTTTATCGGCGACGCTACGGAGCGAAAGCGGTGCATTCGATAGATGGATCCGGGGGTGTTTGGGGTGGTGTCGACGGTCTTGTGGGTGGTGCCGGCGTTGAGTTGGGGATATACGCGGTCGGTGTAATTCTACACACAAACGTTAACGTTCAGGCGAATAGCTATAGACTTTAGGGAGATTCAAAAAAGAATGATACATACATAAAGCTCTTCGTCGTACGGCCAATCTTCAGATCCTTTCTCCGCCAAATCCCTGGAGAGGGAGGAGGAGAGGGAGGAAGGATCGAGGATTGATTCCAATGGATGGGTGAATATTCGGTCGACTTCGGTGGGGTTTGGGTGGAGAGTGAGAGTTGGTGTGAGGGTGTAGGGATCTGACGGCGAGGATAACACGGGACCAGAGAGGTAGGCGATGACTGGAACGACGATGATACCCCACTGCGATAAATGTGGGGAAAGTGTACAAAGGACGTGTATATTAGGTATATGCGGGATGTCGTTGTCGCTGTCGATAATCAGACTGGAAGGAAACGGCAAGCCGACTTCTTCATAAGCTTCCCTAAACTATCCATCTAATCTATCCATAAAGACGCTTTGCATTTAATGAGTGTTACACTCACAGCACCCCACAGAACTTTTGGCTCTCTATCCTCTTCGTCAATTCTACCTCCCGGTAACGCTGTCTGGCCAGGATGAGATCGCAGTGATTTAGACCGTGTGGTGAGGAGTACTTGGATTGAGTCCGTGCTATCCGAATAAAGTAACACTAAAACAGCTGCGAGCTGCTGTCGATGTAAAGACCTGTTTTCATTCAGTTTGTTCAACCATGCATTATCAGCAGCAAGTCTACGTACAAATTTGTTCCATCGAATCCTTGACCTCGTAATCTCCGTAGAACCACACGCGTGGCTTCGTCTATTCCAGGTATTGTGTCCACGTCGGCTGCTAGGCTGATACTGGGTGTACTCGTCCCCATCGACATTAGTTAACCGGCAGTTTTGCGCCGAGGTCGATAGGAAACAGCGACAAATATTATTCTACTCAACAAAAATCTGTTTTAAAAACGTCTCTCTGATCTGAAGTCCACTCCATTATCTGCTTAGCTTGGAGTCCTTCGCCGTATCGTTCGGAGTGTTCACTATCCCCGTACAAAAAATTGCTGAAGATGTTCCGTAAAACTCCCTGGCTGGGAGTCGAACCCAGCTTTCGCGCGGAAAGTTGAACACAATGACAGGCGCGTGTACTAACCGATATACTACCAGGGATTGTTACTATATTGAACAACAATCTCCTATTATGTTGATGAGTTTCTTTCGCAATCTGAAATCTTCGTGCAACTGTCTTCAAACCACAATCATCATTTTACTATTGAAGGAATCAATCGGCATGCTCGCATTAAGAGACTTATCCAGAAGGTCAAAACCTGCATGCACTCGGAATTTTGACGCGTCAGGCCGGCACGGCAACTGTCGACTAACAAGCCGGCCGGTCGACGTAGCCTTTCTTGTAATTATCTTCTTCTCACTTCTCATTCCATTGAACAATCTCCGTGGTAATATCTTCTGCCTCATCTAGTGACCGACATCCGCTAGAGCCGCTCGCATAGTCATTTGTGTTCCTCCTCTATTTCTCTATACACTCGTGTAACGTTATCCTCAATATATCGACTCACAATGGCTCTTGGACGATTATTCCACTACGCATTCGATGCAGTGTTGGTGTCTACGGTCCTTGCGGGGGTGAAGAAGACGAGCGGGTTTAGGTTTGTTTTCTTTCTATGCAAATACCTTGATGTTGTATGAAGTTGGCTGAACGCTTTTGTGACTCTTTCTTCAAATCACTCTCATCCACACTTTCCTTCTCCCAACGACATACCCAACCTCATACACACACACCACAGCCTCGACATCGACCAACTAACCACAAACCCTACCGCCAAATCCGTCGCCGAGTCGTATCTCGGTTTCGGAGAGTCAGTGTATGGGATCATACAGTCGACTGTGGTGAATAATGGGTATTTTGCGAAGAAGGAGTAGGAGCAGTGGTGGGTAGGAGGAAATGAGGGAGAAGTACAACCGCTCGAACATCAGATAAAGCGGTCATCCGTTTTACAACGTTCAATCGCCGCGTTTTCTGTATTACAGGAGAACATATCTTACTCCAGATACACCATCGCATATCAATATATCACCGGTGGGTTATAGTGAACAATTCGATGCTCCTTCCTTCTTCCTTTTTTTCGTTTCTCGCGCGTCTGGGTCATCATACAATCATCGTTACGCATGTATCGGCCAGGACCAAATCAATTTCTAGGTCTGGTTGGAAGAATTTCGGTTCGAGGATTTCATAATTCACAACGTTCTCCTATCGGTCATAATTTATCCTCTACTATATTCCGTTGTAATCTGGTTGATGCCATTTGCAGCATGTTATGACAACGATTAATGTCAATCGAATCTTCAGAATCTACCCAAGGGTATCAGAATGAAAGCGTCATGCAGAGCTGGATTCATTGGAAGGTAATGTAACCTTTGACGACAGTCGGATCCTAAATAACGAGTCGGCTGACCTCAAGCAACTCTACAACAACTTCTCGATCTTAATAACCTCCTCAACAGCCTTCCACCACTTCGCTCCTTGCTCACTCTGCACAAGCACACTAAGACTTGCCTCCTTCAACGGTCCTCTCACCGTCCCATTCCCGTACCCAAACTCTTGCGCAACAATCACCTTGACACCACCCACACCACCGATCTTTGACACCGCCCAATCCGCTGCAGATAGCTTGGACTGTAGCGTAAAAGCTTCTTCTAGCACCTTCGCATCCTTGGTCTTCTGGTATTCCAGGAACAATTTGAACACCTTCGCGTGGATCTTTGGCACGAGATTGACGAGAGCAGCGATGGTGCCTGCGCCGCCAGAAAGGAGGGTGTGTAAGAAAACGTCAGATTTCCCAGCGAATGTAGCGAAGGAGGATCTATAGTCGAAGGATGAGGACAATCGTTGGATTTTTCCGACGTTCCCGCAAGAGAGTTTGGTGCCAACAATGTTGGGGTGTGCGGCGAGAGAGGAGATAAGGTCCGAATCAAGGTCGAGCCCCGCGGTCACAGTTGGGAAGTTGTAGATCATGTATGGAAGTGGAGAGGCATCTGCAACCTGTATTGAAATTGATCATCCGATATGTTTTGTCAACGATCTCAAGCGCTCACCTCTCTATGGAACCTCGATATGCTATCCGCTCCCATCGCCGGTGCCCATGTCGATGGAGTCAACACCAGCACCCAACCGGCTCCACTTTCTTTTGCTTCCACGCACAATTCCTTTGTCTCCCTCGCTGACTGCGCTCCAGTCCCTGCTATAATCAACACATGCTGGAATCCCGCTTCATTGAGGGTTTTTCGCGCAAAGGCAATCGTGCGGGATCGTTCTGCGTGAGAGAGATGCTGAGCTTCACCGTTAGAGCCTTGGACGAGTATTCCGGTTACGCCGCCCTTGGAGGAAAGCGCATAGGATTGTGAGCTCGGGCGCGGTGTTGCATAAAATTCATACGTACTTCTGCTAACCGTAAAATATGTTTTTTATATGCCTCTTCATCGATGTCTTCGCTTCCAGGATGAAAGAAAAGGACAGCGGGAACATAGACACCTGGTGGTGGTGGTCCTGATGTTGTGTTTCGAGTCTGTGTCGCAGTAGACATGTTGTGGGTATTCGAATGAGAAGTGGAATCGACAAAATTGAGGCAAAGTATCAGATGAGGAACCGGTAAAAATCAGGAGAAAACAAGTCACAGGTGGTAGAATTATCTCGTGGAAATGTGGTCTAATCTGGTCGATAAATCCCTCGGATACTCAGAAAATGATAGAGCAAACTTGTAAAGTCAGAACGCGAGAGAAACTCAAGGGAAAAAGGAAGCTGGAAGGGCTGCAGCTCGAGTTCAAGACTGACCATGGTGTTGTTCTGACTTACGAGAACAAAAACAGAGGCCGGGACTGGCTGGAAGTTAGAACTGAGGTTCGTCAATTGTCCCACGGCTTCAATTACTTCCGATGGATGGGCGTTCACTCTTACGACGAGAGTCCGTCTCCCCCTGCTGAACAGCTTGCTCGTTTGGGTCCACCCAGTGTTCTCGTCAATGCCGGAATCCCCTCTATTGTTTGGGGCGAGGACGCTCTTTCCATTGTCCATCGAGTTCCAACCATGCTTTTTGATCAGCATATCCTCGTCGAATCCACGCAACTTCACGCTGCCGCTCAGGCAATCTGCGGTGCGCTTCCTTACTCCAGAAAACTCGTTGATGAACGAGAGAGCTGGAAAGATTACTCCATGACCAACAAAATCAAGCCATATGCATTCAGTGTCAATGACGAGACATTATTTCTTGAACATAACAACGTCCAGGCCGCATGGGAGAAGGTGAGCTTTATCTTGGATCTTATCATCCTCACTGCTTGCTCAAATAATAGTTTTAGGACCAACCACAGCACATTCTGCTCCATGACTCCTCTGTATTCCATATTGACGCTCAGGACTACAGCCGTACCTGTCTTAATCCTCGACCTCCCTCCACCGAACCTGCAATCACAGATATTCGCTTCCCCACTCTGGTTGCCTTTTTCGATGCCATCATCGACACTTTAAACGAACCACCTCTCCCGTTCAATCACAGGAAGTTTGAGTCATGGCTCGGAACCATGATGAGTTATCTGTCTTTCTACACCGTCGCAAACACAGGTGGCATATTTGACATTGCTGAGGATGGAGAACGCCTCCCCATTGATGCCTGCTGGCCAATCCTAGAGCAAGTCAAAGAGGAAAATCGTCCTAGGCTGATTCGAAATTTTATTGGTCGACGTCTGGATCCTCAGAATACCAGGATCGAGAGAGAAGATATCAAGCGAGACGTTTGCCAACACAAGGGAATTGCTTATCATGCTCCCACTCGTCGAATTCTGTTTGATCCTTATTATGCTGACCGTGATCTTCCAGAGCTCAAGTGTGCACCTCGACTCACACCGTAAGCGAACTGTGCTCACTGTGTGCATAGCCGTTATTGAACGTGTTACCACAGATTTATATCAACCAGCAATGGTAAAAGGGAACTGTTTTGGCGTCCGTTGGCTCGCTATGCTTCAATTGCAGCCAAACTTGTACGATACTAGTCGATGTCGAGTCCATGGCCGTAGATACCTTATGGAATTTGTTTCAAACTACATAGAAGTAACAATGACCGTGACAGTGCATCCGACTGAGTACCGCAACGGACATTCGTTTTTGAGTTATAAGACGAACGCAGGGTCATCTAACTTTACCTTGTCGCTCGCAACCTCCCTCGGAGCTGGCCTCCAAATCCAAATCTCCTACTTCCTTATACTATCGACTATGAAAACTCATATCTCTCGGTTCCCTTTGTCTCTCCTCAAAATCCGGGTTCTTCGAACTATTCTCACCATGCTCGTACTATGCTCGACGCTATTAGTGATGGTTGCTTCTGCATCCCCACTCCCTCCCTTCCCAGAACATTCAGAATTAGCATTTAGTGCAGCCGACCCCAATGTCAGCCCGACTTCGGTTCAGGGTCATGAGCCTGCTGTCAATGTGGAACACGGCACCTACGTGGTTGGTTCAGGTTCTCATCCACCTGCTGCTGTAGACGACGAGTATGAAGATAATTTGAATATGACGGATCAGCTTCAGCTCTATCCGCGCGGAGTTGGCAAGGTATTGAACAAGTTCAACGATGGGGTAAAGCGAGTTTTCAACCCATTATCTTCGGACTGGAAATTGTTGGGTTTTGCGTACACCAAACCGGTGCGTCAACTTTTCGCAGTTCCTATGTTTTTTTTGAAATTTATTGCTTGCAGGAGCAGCATCGGAGTCCAGCGCAGAACAATTCAGTGGATTTAAACCAAATAGCACTTCCTGCTTTGCGTCTAGAGTCAAGAGGTGCCCTTCTATATCTCTTGACAAGGCTAGGTTTGAAAGACCAAAATCTCAATGTGAGTGCCTTCATCGTCTTTACAGTACCTCCTTCAATCCACTTCCTGAAATCCTTAGGATCAGTACTCGACTGTAAGCCAGATTCATCCTGCATACCGTAACTTTACACATATGTTTTGCTTCCAGTGTCTGGTGTACGCAAAGAAGAGCGAAATAAATAAGGAGATACCCCATATGGTGAGCGACACTCGTTGTGCAGGCTAACACGATCCAGAAATTCAACCCCTGCTCACGACTTTCACCGTAGTTTTACGAGGAATCTCCTCCG